TAGATAGATAGATAGATAGATAGATAGATAGATAGATAGATAGAGATACAGATAGGTAGAGATACAGATAGATAGATACAAATAGATAGATAGAGATGGATAGAACACCAAAGATGGAATATTCACGTTTATTTGCCTGACTCCTTCCTTTTTCACTTATGTTCTTCCTCTCCTCTCTCTCAATCTCTTGTTTTCAGGGAACCGTTTCCTCGGCATTTTCCCCATTACCTAAAAATGGCCGTACCTGGGAAATTGGCAAGGAACAGAAGCAAAAAGCATGCTAAGGGAACATCGGGGAGACAAGACAATTTGGGTGTGAAGCAGCTGCAATTGCTCTTTAGTTATTACCTGGTTTTTACGACTGCTTTTAGTCTCCTGACTTCCCAGTTTTATGGAGTGATGCTGCAGGCTGCCAAGATAATCCCAGAATTAATAGGGCAGTGCAGAATTCAAATAAATAAGGGACCCTGGCTGTAATGTAATCGGTAGATTAATCAACCAGCGCTGTGGCTGATTTAATGCGTGGAGCTCATTTGGTCCGGCCGAGGAAATATTTGGAGGTGTCAGGATGAGAAATTATAGGGCGTGTTTTTGGTTCAGGTTTTCTCCCACAAGAGAGAAAAGGGATGAAAGAATGGAAAACTGTATGGTTAAGCATTTTGCCCTGTTCTTCCTTGAGAGAACGGTCATCCAAAGTAGTCCTCGAGTTACAACCACAATTTGGGCACAATTGAGCCTCAAATTTATGTTGCTATGCAAAGCATTTGTAAAAGTGAGTTTTGCTTTGTTTTATTCCCTTTCTTGCCATCACTGTGAAGTGAATCACTGCAGTTGTTAAAGTTAGTAACCTGGCTTTAAAGTTTGCAAAAAGTGGATTGCACGACCCTGGGGACTCAGCAACAGTCATAAGTATGAAACCAGTGTCCAAGCATCTGAATTTTGTTCGCCTGACCAATGAGGATGCTGCAATGGTTGTAAAACAGTCATAAGTTACTTTTTCCCTCTCTGGTGAAGTTTGAGCAGTATCCAAGAAGTAGAAGAGGGCTTAGAAAAGTCATGGTGGATCCAACAATTAGAGCATACTATGCGG